AAAATGCTTTATTATTTTATTTGAAATTCCATATTGAAAGCAGAAGCTCGTCCTAGCGAAGATCCCCCACAGCTAAACGTGATAGGTCTGTATTGCATGAGTGACTGATGGGACCGCCCAGGGGTACCGTTGCCTAATATCAGCCTAATGATTTCATCTTCGTTAGATAAATAGAGATCACACCTTAATGGGAGACTGTCAGTTAGAGGGCCATTTGTTATGATTAGGTTGTGGGCAGGCATTATTTGGAACATTTTTATGTTTAAGGTCACAATTTTTTGATAGATAACTTTGTTTTGCCGCTACACTCGACTTTTATCATGTATTGTGGGTGGTGTATTTACAGACAACCAGACCTTGAATAACAATAACTTTTGTAAGTTTTCCTAACGGGAATCAAGCTACGGTGCACGGTATCCAGCCGTACAGACTTTAATTCGTCAACCGCTTATATATTTATATATACCCATGGTCGTTCCTCTACAGGGCAAAGATCTCCCTACTCTCCTTCTTTTTATAGCTTTTTGTGACTAATCCTTTTTATATGAGTCACGTTCATACCGCATACTCCTTCTAAAAAAGAAAAAAAAAAGAAAAAACATATATTTGACGCCAGCTATGATGCAGCATAAATAAAATAGAGGTATAATAAAGACAATAAAAAATAGTGTTGCAGTAAAAGTAAGATTAACAGGGGTAGGCCGACGACAACCGCACAGGCATAATTTTTGAACTTGTTGAATCTAACCAACTCTTGTTGTTTTATTTTATTGCACCATGTAATAGGTATTTACACTAATAAGTTTGGAATTCCAACTCTGTAAAAAACCTTTTTTATTTATTTCATAGATAAAACAACGGGCACAAATAGAATCTAATCTACACATGATCCTATTCAACTTAACCTACACAAGGATATCATTTAGATAGTAGGTATATAAGTACATATATCACTACATGACGCGCATAATGATGTAATGCCTTTAGTATCATTTTCGTAAGACTGAGAGATGGTATATAAGCAACTACAGCAGACGAACTAATCAGTCTTAAACTTGCTATGCTCGCTACAACTGGTACGTGTATGAGTTACATTACGTGTCACATATTTCAAATGAAAAAATAAACAATACAAAGGTACTGATTTGCAAGAAACTGATTATAATAGAAATATTCCAAAATGGTCTCTCAGAATTTGTTAAACATATTGTAATAAACTAATAAAATTGAACTAACATAAAAAGTTGTTATTCTATGTTAACACCTACTTTTCACTATTTATGTTATGAGACCCATGTAATAAGGCGTGAGCCTATAGCCATATACACGGTACAATTCCAGACTCCGTGCTACTACTGAGTTTAAAAAAAAATACTTTTCCCGACCCGGGTATCGAACCCGAGCCCCCTTGCCCGGCAGTCGCACTTACAACCACTCGGCCAACGACTATTTTATTCTTAAGCCAAAAGTTAAAATAGTTTTATAGTCTATAATGTTATAAGGTTCTTTTATCCACACCAATTACGTAGGCAAACATAGGTACATACAACAACGAAAGTGACTCATTTCTTACACACACACAAAATAATATACCTACAGCTTATGACATAAAAAGTCAAAAGTCAAAAAGTCAAAGAATTTATTTCAATTAAACCATAGTTTGGTACTTTTGAAACGTCAACAAATACAAAATAAATAATAGTCTTTCAGTCAGTCCGTCAGTGAAGCTAGGTGAAGCTAGGTGCTCATTCCAAAACGTAGATTCGAATGGAGAAGAACGAGCAAGAAACTCCATTCGTTACTCTTTTAAAAAAGTATGTTCTACAATGTCTCTGATACATATTTCAATACTGTACGCATATGTAAGAACAATGCAAAGACACGCTTGACGCATTATACTAATAACTTACTAAAATAAAAATAAAAAAGATCTTAAGTCTAACATGGTGCTCACATATGCATACTGACAATCCATAGAAATAGTGCTTCTATACAAGAAAAAGGAAACTCTTTGTTTCAATAAAGAAAGAAATGCTCGATGCCATAAGGAAACTAGATTGTCTACATTAGAATTAAAGTATTAAATTATGTATTATATTACCTACTATTGGAATTTAACTACTGACTACATTTGAGTATTGTCCAGTGGAGCCGAACCAACATGCTGCCAAGCATTCTTATCTTCAATATAATCGATTCATAAAGACTGTATCTATAATGCCATATCACTTTAAACTCGCATTTAACCCTACACGACCCCAATTGAATGTATCACACCATGTAGTAGATACTCTCACAATAACACGTTCGATGCTTAAAAGCACAGGTTTTGTGTTCGTGTATTATTATCATTCGATGCTACATGTGATGTACGAGTTGGATTAGGGTGTGGATACATTGAGCTAATGTCATCATCATC